AAGGGAGTTCAAAACCCAATTGAGTCAAATGTATGAAAGATGATATATCATGAGCTCTGTAATGTTTTGAACAATCAATAAAAAAAAATTAAAAATATATATATATAAAAATGGACTGGGGGTGTGGCTCAGTGGTTAAGTGCCCCTGAGTTCAATCCCTGGCACACATACACAAAAGAATTTTAGATGTCACATATAGGATAAAATAAGTATTAACTCAAAAGAGAACCAGTAGCATATTTTACTTAGACTTCGAAAAAAAAATATTTGCAAAACAAATTGATAACATTTCACAAGCAGATGATTCTGTTTCAGGTCCTCATCAAGGTTCAGAACACGGAGTCCACTGTTCCTTGCAAATTTCTTCACTGTTTCTACTCTCCGTATCTTTGTGATTCAGTGGTATTCACGGATGCAGTGATGATGAGAAGCATTTTAAGTAATTTAAATGCTATTGTTTGTTGATGAAATGGCTAACTTATACAGTGAGTCAAAAACACAATCATCTGGGTACGGTTCTTCAAAGTGCCAACATCTGATCATTTTCAAATTATTGATTGTCCCTTTAATGCTCATAAAGCATCTGAGTAATGGAATTTTTAGATTCATATACACATTATAGTTCATTTATCTTCATTACTGTTTTGCCAATATTTCATGAAAGTAGTTTTACAGATTGAATGTAAAGCATACCTGTAAAACCGAAGAGCTATTTCTGGTTGATCAGAATAAAAGTGGTTGCTTCCAATGCAAGCAATGGCTTCCATGTGAGTATTATCTTGTTTTAAAACCTCTTTGTAGTATTCAGCTGCTGATGAACCATTGTTCATTTCCTGCTCAAGACAAAAGAGCAATACTGTATTAATATTGGACAAGAAATTTTTTGTCTCACCAATTTAAGTTTATTCATTCGGCAAACGTTTACTGAGAGTCTGTCATGTGCTAGACTCTATTCTAGGCCCTAGGGACATGACAGGAATAAAAAGATCAAGTCGGGCTGAGGTTGTGGCTCAGTAGTAGAGTGCTTGCCTAGCATGTGAGAGACCCTGGATTCAATCCTCAGCACCACATAAAAATATATAAATAAATAAATAAAATAAAGGTATTGTTTCAAGCTACAACTAAAAAATAAAATATTAAAAAAAAAAGGATGAAGTCACTGTCCTTAAGGAGTTTACAGCTGGTGGAGAAGACAAACAAATAGATATATAATGTCAGGTGAGGATGAGTGATATGAGGAAAAACAAAACAGGGCAGGACTGAGGGAGGAAGGGAGGGAGGGAAGGAGGGAGAGTCATGCTTCAGAAGGGTGATCATCTTGAAGGAGGGGCTATTTGAACAGAGTTTGGACCTGAGCACACCTGGGCGAAGCTCACTCAGGCAGAGAAACTAGCAAATATATGCTGCTGAGAGGGAAGCACTTAGAAAAACCACACAAATGCAGTGAGGCTGGAAAGAGGGAGAGTAGTACAGGAGACTAGAGAGGCTGTCAGGGCCTTTGTCAGGCATGGGAGGAGCTTCAGATGTTTTTCCTTCTAAATTGAGAGAAAGTTATTAGAGAATTAAAAGCAGAGGAGTGACATAATCATACTGTATTCACATTTTTAAAGAATAATTTGCCTGGTAAGCACAGGACAAACCCAAATAGGGAAGAGCAGCAGCAAGGAGACCAAGAATTCAGGAAAGAAATGATGGCAAACCAAATTTCTGAAATACATATACAATTAAAGCTGAAGCCACCTTCTACAGTTTTTATATATGCTTTCTAAATACTGATAATCATAAATGCATTTATTATTATTAGAATCATCATCATCATCATCATCATCATCATTTGTGAGATGGGGCCCAGGCTGGCTGAGTATTATCAATGAATGCTACATATCTCAAATACACTCTCAAGGTCTAGTTCAGGTTCCACACCCTTCATTAAGATTAATTATGCTGTGCCCTCACTGCACAGGGCTCTCTTCCGCCTCTCATCTTACATGACATTTATCATGACTTATGCACTTATTCTTATTAGGATTCAATTTTGTGAGATTTTAATCATATTTTATCAAATCTAAGTGAGTCCACCAATTCTAAGCAGCACCATACAATGCTTCTTTAAACATAAGAATTTTTATTTGATACTCATTTTGACATTTTATTTGATACTCAGACCTAAACTGTATCCCCATACCATTCTTTTGCCTTCTTTATATGAGGTAGATATGCAAAGTAAGTTGGACGTAATATTTCCTCATATTCAGAGGCAGTCTTCTGACTCCCTTTCTGATCTGGTCATCCAGGCCCAGGATTTTCCACACAGTGTCTCACATTGGCAATACAGCTTTTCTTTCTTTTTTAAATTTTATTTTTACTGATGATTAATAATTGTGTGTTTATATGGGGTACAATGTGATCCTTTGATATGTGTATGCATTATGGAATGTACAAATCAGGCTAATTAACATATATGCATCATCTCATATACTCCTCATTTCTTTGTGCATAGAACATTTAAAAGCTACTCGCAACATTTCTTAAAAGTGTGCCCCACTATGTCCCCAAGATTTTCTTCCAGGCTATGGACCCTCATTTTGCTGTACTGATGCCTGTGCTTTCTTGATCTTACCAGCAGGTGTCAACAAGAGCTTTCAGGCAACAAGTAGAAACAATTACCACGTTCACCAACTACCACGTTCACTATCTAAAGTACGATGCTGCCAAGAATAACTATCAAGTTCCCATATAAGCAGACTGTGACAACTACATGACAACTGCCACTTGGCCACAAACCATTAGAAGATGCTACCTACTCTAAGAGGCACCCCAATCTCAGAGATGTCAAAATGTGGAAAACATATGTTCTTTAGAATCTATAAAATTTGATAATTTCTTTGCAACCAAGACCACGTGGTGTACCTTTTCCTTAGTGCTAAATTTAGTGCTTCTAGATACTGGAAAATTAATAAATCATAATTAAACAACTTCCAAAATTGTCTGAATTTCTCACGTTTCCACAATAACAGAGGTTCTCAAACTTTTTGATCTTAAGATCCCTTCAAAGTCTTAAAAGTTGCTAAGAATCCCAAAATTTTGTTTATGAAGGTYATATTTGAAAATATTTATTAATTCATTCCATATAATATGTAATAAAACTATTAATATTCTTACAAAAATAATGGACTCTCCTGAATGGAGAAGGTTTGTAGGTTGTCCAATCATGTCTCCATACATGATAGATTTGCCAAACTGAGAGAGACTATTAAGTCCTTTGGTCAGAGATCTAATGCCACTCTGCCAATTCTGTTTTTATCAATAATAAAGTCAATGAATAAAGTTAACACCAAAAGTGAAAAAACAAGCTGCATATTAGAATGTATCAAATGATTCTGTTTATGGCTAAAACCTGTATAAACTGTATGTGTGCCTTTATATAAAGAAATAATTTTTCACTCTTAATGAAGTTAATGGTTTGTCTTCTATTTGTTTAAATCTCGTGGCTATCCCTCAGTTGGTTCTCAATTTGGAGGACTGATGGGCACAGAAATTAATTTATGTAATTTCAAGGAATTTTAGATTTGAAATTAGCAACTTCACATGTAGTTTTTCAATTAAGTTTTATAAACATAAAATAATTTACCTATGCTAAATAAGTTTATATACTACAAAAGGGTACAAAATTAAAAGAAGCCCAAATCCTAGTTGACAGAAGCTGTTAATCATTTCTTGGGTATCCTTTAAGAAATTTTGTTCATATAAAGAAACATACAAAATCATTCTGTAGATTCCAATATACAGTTTAAATTAGTGTCGTGGCACTCTTTCTATATCAAAACATAGAAATTCACTTTATTACATTTTATATGAAGTAGATACTCTGTACAATACTCCATCAATACATAGACCATAATTTATTTAACCAGTCCCCTTTTGATGAACCTTAGTTTATTTCCATTTCCCTTTAGAATACTTACATACTTGACCGATGGACAAAAATTAGTTTATGCAATTAATATTCTATAAAATCATTTGTATATATCTTTGTGTGCCTGTATGAAAAGACTCTTAAGCAAAATTCCTGGAAGTAAAATTGCCCATGCACTTTTTAAAGTGTCATGGCAGTTGCAAACACCCTCCTAATGGGCTGTATCAAAGTACACTCCCACCAGCAATGCTCATGTGTGGAGCCTGTTCTCCACACCCTTGACACCACAGAACTTCTTCATCTCTGCCAACCCAATTAAGCGAAACACAGCATATCACTGTTGTTTTAGTCTTTATTTCTTTAGTTACAACAGAGGTTAGAAATTGAACACATCAGATATTTCTTTTTCTATGAGTTTCCAATTTACTTCCTTTGCCCGTTTTCTATGCTATCCTATCTTTTATCTTTTTATCAGTGGCATTTTATGCAGATATAACAGAATACCACCAACTGGTAATTTTAATGAACAGAAATTTATTTGGCTCTTGGTTCTGCAAGCTGAGAAGTCCCAAATCAAGGCTCCACATCTGGTGAGGGCTTTCTTGCTGCATCATAACATGGCAGAAGGCATCACAATGGGGCAGCATGGAGTAGTAGGGACCAGGCAGTCAGACAAAGGCCAAAATCATTCTTTTATCAGGAACCTACTTACAATAATAGCAATTAATCCATTCTTGAGGACATCCCTCTTTGCCTAGACACTTCTTAAAAGCCCCACCTCTCCACTGTTGCATGGGATTGTTTCTAACAAATAAACTTTGGGGGGACACATTCAAACCTACAGTAGTACATGAGGGGGTTGGGTAGGAAACTGCCTGGATCTGGAGGCAGACATATGGCTCAAGGATCCCTGGGCACCAACTTTGCTTTCTCATTCCAGGTGACATGAGCCCGTGCTGATATTGTCTTTAGTTTAAAAACCAGAAAAGTCCTGTCTTCATAAACACACATGGAACATACATGGATCAATTAAGTTCTTCCAGATGGATATCATAAAGCTCTAAGTATGAAAAGCTATCGGTGTAGTCAAAATGAAGCTAGAAGGGCTGGGGGCATAGTTTAGTGGTACTGTACTTGCCTAGCATGTTTGAAGTCCTGAGTTTGATCCCCAGCATCACAGGGGCGGGGGTGTGTAGGGTACTTTGGGGGAGCTGGAGCTTGGCTGTTGTCTCATCTCTGGGAGGTGATTTCTCATCTCTAGGAAGGCTGACAAGAAAACAAAAGCCTATGGAAAAGCCACAAGATACATTGATCCAAAACTTCTCTAAGGAAGCATCTACTTTCCATAGTGTCCATTCTTGATTAAATAAGCATATATGAGGGCATGTGTATGGACATTTGTTTATATGTGTGTGAGATTTGTAAAAAGGTAAAATAAAACCAAAGTTTGGCTTTATTTAAATTTTTGTTTTTGCTATTTAGTAAACTTAACTTTTATTTTCTCAAACTTATCAGTCTCTCCTATTAAGTCTTTCTGATTGTCATGTTTAAAAAACTCCCTCATTCCAACTTATACAAATAATGCATCTGTTTTTTCTTTTGGAACTTTCACAGTTTCACTTTTTGAAATTTTAACTTTTTCTTTCTGTTGTTTGTGTCGTTTCGTTGTTGTTGTTGTTGTTGTTTGTTGGTTGGTTGGTACTGGGGATTGAATCAGGAGTGCCCTATCACTGAATTACATTCCTAATCCTTTTTCAAATTTATTTAAAATTTTTTAACTCACTAAGTTGCCCAGGATGGGCAGGAGCTTAAGATTTCCTGCATCAGCCTCCCAAATTGCTGGGATTACACCCACACACCACCCACACACCTAGAAGTAGTAATGGATTTTTTTTAGTAAAAGAAATCATTACTCGTCCACTGTAATTTTAAACTATTTAATAATCCAATAATCCACCTGGCTTCTTAGGCAATATTTATCACATCTTTAATTTTCACATGTATGAATAAATACAGACTATTTTGGTCCATTAACTTATTCCTGTATCAGAACTGTTTAAATTACACCAGATTTCATTAATGTAGATTTAAAAATAACATTTTTAAGTATGTAAATGTTATTTCAAGTAAATGAGAAACTTAATACAATCTCAGTGGTTTTCTAGCAGTTATTTTTGAACTAATTCACAAAACACTATCTATCTATACTTAGGTCTTAATTATTTAAAGTGAAATTGCAAATAAGGAAATAAATGTTGCTCTGCTTCTCAAACTCTGTTATGCCTCAGAATCCCCCTAATGAGCCTGTTAAAAATACAAATAAACACCTGAGTCTCCCTTTCCAGGACTTCTGATTAGTAGGAAGAGGATGGGTTGTACTTCTTACACATTCCCAGGGTAATTTTCACCCACAGTGAAGTTCAGAAAGCCACCAGAATAACCTTTTAAGAATTAGGTTTCTAATCTCAAACCCCTTTCAATAAAGAACAACTAAAATAAGGGCTGGTCTCTCAAACAAAATGCCTCAAGAAAAATTAAAACCACCAAAAAACAATTTAGCAAAGAGAAATCAATTTTTAACAGTATCTGTACAAAACAAGCAGTGAACCGAAGGCAGTACAACATGTTCATTTTAAAACAGGCAACATTTAAAAGATATAATACCAACATGAAAGTGGTAAATAAAAAAGAAGTGAACATAACGGAAGAGAATTCCCTCCAGAGAATAGCAAGACGCACATAATAAAAGTCCCTAAAGGCACTTGCAGTGTAGGTCACAAGACTACGGAACAAACTACACTAATTAACTCTAAATCCATCCTCATGTAAGAGAAAAGAATCTGCTGGAAATCTGCCTTTGGTGTAGTCAGCTTCAGCAGAAAGGAAATGAACTGTGCACATCCAAGGGAAAATACTGCACCCAACTATTTCACATCTGTGCTTAGCCCTTGATCACCCTACCTACAGGACAACATATTGTCCCTGCAGTTAGGATGCTTCCCTTTCTAATTCCTTTTTCCTGAAGTTTAAACTCAACTCAGAACAGCAAAAGAAAGAGGCAGCTGATAAAGACTGCCCCAGAGCCACTCCCTATCCCAGCCATAGCAACAGTCACTATGACAGGCTTGGGAGAAATTCTTCTGAACAGCAGAAGAATTATCAGCAACCGCATGTTAAAGATGCAATTGTCCTGAAGCCCTTTCTGCTAGCACTCACTTTCTAAAAAGCAAGGTGTGAAAAAGGACTGAGAAGTACAAAAGGGAAAGCCAAAAGGTCCAAGGGTGCCAATGGCATCGGGAAATCACCAATGGAAGCAGCATGAATTTCACTGATTTCGAAAACTGATTCCATTTTATATCTTTTCTAAGCTTCTTGGTCAAAGCTTTGTTCATATTCAATAACTAAACAAAAATATTGATACAAGTATTTATATTGACCGATCCAAATCTTCTATGTATCTATCAAAATTATATCTATCAAAATTATACTTCAAAAGGAAAATACATTTTATAGGTAATTAAAAACAATATTTCTCATTTAAAAAGTAAAATACACAATCATGGAAAATTTTGAAAGCATAAAAAATAAATAAATGTCAATCCTACACTATAACCCAGATATACCAACTATTACAACCTACAACTCTTTTTCAGCAAAATTTTAAAATCTCATACCTAGCATTTTCTAGAAATGTAAAGAGAACTGAGGTGCACCTGTTCAGCATTGTACTGGAAGTTCTAAACATAATGATATATTTTTTAAAAGCAATAAGAATAACTGAAGAAACAAAACTGTATTTGCACACAATGATTAGTTTATTTACTTAGAATATCAAAGAGAATCTATGGACAAGGTCATAAAATTTAAATAGTAGAATCAAATCAACTTTTAAGAAGTAATACATTCACCAGAAATAATCAAATAGAAACTATAAGAGAAAAAAATAGGGACTCCATTCACAGTTATACCTGGGAATACACCTGTACAGAAAAGTCCTGAATCTGCTATCCTTGGAAAGGCTCATGCCTGGGAACTCACTTGGTTCCCTACATCAGTATACACTTTCTCCAAATAACATGAGCAGTTTGCTACACCTAAACTCTTGGTACAAGCAGTATGGTTTTTGCTGAATACCTGTTTACTTGTGGGAGTCTGGAACTCTGATACTTGGTAGGCAGAAGTGTCTAAAAGATCAGCGCCCAACAGTGACATCGTATACTGAGTCTCTTGTGTGCTTCCCTGCCATACAACACTTCTCAGAGTTATCACAGCTTACTACAAGAGGTGTCACCTGTGTGACTCCACTGGGAGACTCTTAGAAGCTGGTAACCAGTCATCCTCTGAACTTTGGCCCATTCATCTTCCCTTTTACTGATTTTGCTTTTGTATTCTTTTGTTCTAGTAAATCATAGCTGTAAATATAATTGTTTGCTGAGTCCTGGGAACCCTAGGAAATCATTGAATCTCAGTGTGGTTTGGGGGACCCCCGCAACAGCCTCTTTCAGGGGATAATTACAAAAACTTCCTGAAAAAAAAATACCAATGCTTGAGAAAGGAAGAAAGGCAACGTATCTGCCCAGCCTCCACATATTCAAAGTAATTCCAGTCAACATGCCTATAAGGTATTTTTATTGTTCTTGTAAGTCAACCTTAAAACCAATATGGACTAGCAAAGAGTCAAAAATAACCAACTGTGAAGAAGAAAAACAAGGTGGTAGAATTTACCAATCTGATTTTAAGAATTAGGATAAAGCTGTAATAATTAGGTAGCAGGGAAGATAACTAAGTGAAACTTACCATAGAATAAGACAAAATGACTCTAAAATTTATAACAATAAGGAAAAGTACAAAGACACTTCTGATAAAGATGAACCCTACCAGATGGTCAGTATCATACAGATATAAAAATTAAGCTGATACCATATTGGTACAAAGATGGACAAATAGGCCAAAGGAAAAGAGTAGAAAGACCCAATGTACCCCCACCATAAATGGGAAAAAATTATATTTGAGGTTACAGATTTTGGGGAAAGACTGACAAATAAGGTGTGGCAACAGGTCCACAAGGAAAATAATTTAAATCAGTATCATGTACCATTCTCTATACTCTTCTGTGAATCTGAAATGCCTCATAATAAAAACAGCTTGACTAAATGCAGACACTAAAATCTCTTATTCTACCAGTGAATCACAGGCCAACAATCAAAATTTTATAAACTGCTCTTCCTAACCCCTATTTAGTTAGCACATAACCTCAATTTTATATCAACTTTTAAAATACTATGAGCCTTACCTCATAGATCCTGGCAATTCCACAAAGCAGGCTTACTTCTCCTGGAAACTTATCTAAGCCTTGTTTGAAAAGATTTAAAGCAGTCACAGGTTGATCCAATGAGATGTAAACCTAAAATCCAGATACATTTCAATAAAAGAATCAGCTCTTAAAATAAGAGTATTTGTATAGCAAGTTTATAATTATTCATTAGTGACAACTTATCTTCTAGATATTAAGTAAAAAAAATTTTCATAAATATGTAGAATTTCCAATAATGACAGCTTTATCTCCACATGTTGTACATAAAACATTCATTCATTCATTTCTCCACCAAGTACTAATTATAGGCTTACTGTTGTCACAGGGACTGAGCAGTAACTAGACAGGAAAGGATCCAGGGGAGATCCTTCTAATAGAACAGACACAGGCATGGTCATAAGCTGGCATTAAGGAACTAATTAGGAGGCTGAAGCTAAAGATGCGAGGGAAGGAGCGGATGACCCATGAAGCAAGGCCTGAGGAAACAACAGTAGAGAGGGTGGTTTTTGAGAAGACCCTTCCAAAGTAGAAGGAGACAGGTTTGTGAGGCATGGGGTGAGGGGGTTGAGTAAGTTAGCACTTGAGGGTGTCCACTTATTAGCAATTAGACAATTAGCATGGAAACACCTATACTTAATAGGAATTTCTAAAATAGAAAATTATGTTTTTATGTATAGAAACATAATATTTTAGTACTTGTCTTCATGATTTTATATCCAGTTTTTCTTTTTTTTTTTTATTGGTCGTTCATAACATTACATAGTTCTTAATACATCATATTACACGGTTTGATTCACGTGGATTATGAACTCCCCCTTTT